GGAAAAATTTCAATTTTTGTTGTTTCATGGTTAAGATGTCCCGATTGTCTCGCTGTGTTTAGGACCATTTTTCTGTAACGTAAGTCTATAAAAGTCACTATAATGTCACGGGACGGTCTTGTTTTTAGCAGGGAAGGTGGCCCAGCTCTGTAAGCTTTAGTTATTATTGGGGAAATATTGCCTGTTGGTGGAACAGCATTTTTTAGCCAGTCAGTTAATAATTCTGCCAGGTCACCTTTTTTGCCCATTTTTTCATTCATTCCTCTCACCTTCAGGTTGTTTTGCCGGAGAGTCATGTCGGTTCTAATTGCTTTTTCAGCCAGGACATCTTCTAAAAGTTGAAGTTGCTGGAATTCTTGTTGTACTTTAGTGCTAGTATTGAGCGCTTTGGTTGCTATTGCTTTTGTTTCTGTCAGATCTTTCTGCATCCCTTCCATTTGCGCATAAAACGGTTTGAAAAATAAAGACATGTTCTCAAAAATAGATTTTTCCAAGTTTGCCATTTCTTTCATTAATGTCGCGTGTGTTACCAGGGCCTCTGGATTGTTAGGTTCTTCTCCTCCGGACGCCATTGTGCCTTTAGCAATGTGAGTTGGGCCCGATTTTGGATTTGATGGTTGAAACGCAATCGTTGTTTGTATCTTTTTAAATTTCGGTTTGTTGAGATGCCCTGTGTTTTCTGAGTCAGCCTCCATAAGTTAAGACACTTTATGCCTTTTTTGATCGTTGTGAGGATTGAGAGGATCAGAGGGTTGAGAGGAGCTGCGGGTTTAGGCGGCCATGTTGATTCCCTGCCACCGGAAGCCCCAGAGGGAACTCTTTTGGCACACTTGGCTGTCTTTTCACCTGTGCATTTTAAAATGTAACAAAGTTTTAATCCGGTGGCATCTTTAAGACCAACAAACTTTTATTCACGGTACAAGGTTTCGTGAGCAAGCACATTCCGTCAGGTACAGTGGGAGGGGTGGGGGATCTATTTCAAAGTGTGTATCTGAAGTTTAATTGTGGATGTCTTTGTGTCTTTGCACTCACTGCTCCACTGATGGCCGCCACCTCCAGTCTGAGGCAAAACGATGCCAGTCGGGCGACAGACACAAATCTCTCGTTCCCCAGAGCAGACTCTCTGTGGCCGTCCGTCCCGCACAGTTTTAGGTGGCATGTGCGGCACAGAGTCCAGTGAGACACACACACACACCCCCTCCCGCGCACTGGATCTCCTGTCCCCTTCAGTGGAGGCCTGGCTGGGGGCGACGCGTCCTCCAATTCCTAGGAAAGAGGCCAGATCCATCTTCCCGGCGGGATTCATGTTTTCAGACGCAGAAGGCAGTTCTTCGCAAACCTGCTCCTTCTCCACTAATGTTTCTGACCCGATGAACACGGGTCATTGGACAGCTAGACCTGTGTTTTGCTTCCTCCAGAGGTTTGGTTTGGAGGGGGGGGGAGAGCATGGGGGTG